CACACACTAAGCCTCACACACTAAGCCCCACACACACTAAGCCCCACACACTAAGCCACACACACTAAGCCACACACAATAAGCCCCACACACACTAAGCCACAAACACTAAGCCACACACACTAAACCCCACACAATAAGCCACACACAATAAGCCCCACACAATAAGCCCCACACACACTGAGTCACACACAATAAGCCCCACACACACTAAGTCCCACACACACTAAGTCCCACACAATAAGCCCCACACAATAAGCCACACACACTAAGCCCCACACACACTAAGCCCCACACACTAAGCCACACACACTAAGCCACACACACTAAGTCCCCCAAAATTTCTGTTTTATTTGGTATCTGTACATATGAGCTTGTGACCCAGAGGGGGTAGAATCCAAATTCTCTCAGCCTTTAATCTGCATTTTACCTTGAATATTATTGCGTTTGAAAAACTGCAGTCAAAGTCCAGATGTTCCGGTTGTAGCTGAATGTCTGAATATGACTCATCCGTCTCCGCACCAGCATCCTGTATGCCGACATCGTGGGCTTCACCCGGCTGGCCAGCGACTGCTCCCCCAAGGAGCTGGTCATCATGCTGAATGAGCTCTTCGGGAAGTTCGACCAGATCGCCAAGGTAAAGTCTCCACCGTGGCACTTGAGTAAAACCAGGGCTATAGGTAGCTAAAAAAGCTATAGAAGGTGTTTTTTGGTACTTTTGAGAAATGCTCCACCTGAAATACTACTATAAAAAAAAATTCTGCTCAGTATGGACAACAATGTATTATAAGCAAAATTTCCTCAAGTTCACTGCAGGACAGTGTTTCTCAACCCAGTTTTTTGTCCTCTCAGCTCCCAGCACGTCTGCACCCAGTATTCTGTGTTCTGGATTTGTTGATTGTTTGGTTCAGGTGTGCCGGGAATCGGAAATGGGGTTCCCTGCGGACTGGGTTGGGAAACACTGTTGTAGTATGTTTTTGTTGGTAAATAAAAAAACATCCATCTTCATGCCGTAAAGTGACCTGATTTGCAGAAGAATGCTTGCTTGGAGGGTGGGGTTTAAAAGTGACATCTTGCTTATATTTCAGGAGAACGAGTGCATGAGAATCAAGATCTTAGGGGACTGCTACTACTGCGTGTCTGGTCTGCCCGTGTCGCTGCCCAAGCACGCCAAAAACTGCGTGAAGATGGGGCTGGACATGTGTGAAGCCATCAAGTTAGTGCCGGGGGGGGGGGTTAGGGGTAGAGCGTGGCTGGTCAGAGCACCAAGAATGGCCTCGCAGAGAGAGACGGACGACCCCTTTGGTGTCTACCGTTTCTAAGCAACGTAAATTGCTTAATGTAGGATATGTAACAATGTAAATCACGAGCAGAATGGGAAATACAGAGGCTTGAGGCAAACCAGTTCCAATCGTCCCGCTGTGCAGCACTTTAGCAGTTTATTAAGAAAATAAAACCTCATTCATTATGAGAATTTCTGCAGTGGATTTTGCCAAAACAGCAAGCTGGAAAAAAAAAATCCTGTCCAGTACTTCCTTCGCGGTGCCAGAACTTGATTAGCAGTGTTCCAACGGGAAGCAGCATTTTGGCATGCAAATTCAGGCTGGCTGATTCCCAGAAACAAAATAAACACCACTTATAATAATTCAGTGTATAAATGCTTTCTGGCAATCGTGTGTGTTTCTTGGAGAAAGTGAAGAGCAGCTGCTTAATGAGAAGCTGACAGGAATGTGTGTACATTGTTAATTTCACTTAAAATTTTACATTTCAATAATTCAGCAGATTTTTTTGCATGAGGAATAATGCCTGAGCAGCAGAAATGTGAAATGCTCAGTGACACAATAGTTAACTCCTGAAAAACAAATATAATGAGTAACTAAATTAACTAGCACAGTGCAGTACTAAGGAATGGTTAACACTTGTGGCTGTACATCTGATTTCTACATTTTGATTAAGTTTTACAGGTTAAACCCTTGGCACTTGTGCATTTCTGACATGGTTCTTTGTCCCAATCCAGACACACACATACACACATTTGGATATTACTAAATTCTGGGCTTTTTCTACTTCAGAATAAAACTGGTTCGCTAAATTAATAATTTTTATTTCAATAATTTTTATTTCAATAATTTTTATTTAAAACTTCAAGCACTTCATTGAAGCTGGTAATTTTATGAAGCATTTTGCTGGCTGTTCCCAGGTATTTGGGAATTGTGATTTAGAAACTTTTTGCTGTGATATCTGGAGAGCAGTGAGTATTAAGCACTATGTTTGAGTTCAGTACCTTCTCACTGGCTTCTGCTGGTCTCAGCAGGGCCACTGAAAGGGCCTGAGAGTGTCTGCAGCCTCCTCAGGTAGCACATCAGCGGGGGGGGACCCCGAGTGGGATGCCGGGCTTGGGGTCCCGCACCCCGAGTGGGATGCCGGGCTTGGGGTCCCGCACCCCGAGTGGGATGCCGGACTTGGGGTCCCGCACCCCGAGTGGGATGCCGGGCTTTGCGTCCCGCACCCCGAATGGGATGCTGGGCTTTGGGTCCCAGCAGCAGATCGTATGATTCACGCTTGTGATGGCAAGTGGGATTGCAGGGACTTAACAAAGTCCTGCAAAGAAAAGAATGAACACTTAATCCCTTTTCATTATCTGAGTTAATACCGGTGCGGTTATGCAGTACATGTTGGTTAACAATGTACGAGCAGAAGACCACAAACAATGTAATCTAATGAGCGTGACCTTTTAAGCTCTGCTGCGTGTGACTAGGGACCGGCGGAGGGGAATCGGCACTGATGATTAGCTGACGAGCACGGAGTTAATTAAGACCGGTTCTTCTCCGTCGTTCTGAGGTTGGAGTGACTGCGACAGTGCAGTGAGAGAGCAGGGTGCTTTATCAGGCACGGGGACTGTGCTGAACAGAACATCTGCTGGCTCTGTGACCATGTAGCTCAAACAAAGCCAGAGAAGATGCAGATTTGTGTCATACACAATCAATAATCAATAAAATTGTCATCCTCAATAATAGCACTCAAGGAAATCAGACAATCCGACCACCTCACCTGAGATTCTTGCAACCCCCCCCCAGGCAGGTGAGAGAGGCCACCGGAGTAGACATCAACATGAGGGTGGGCGTGCACTCCGGTAACGTGCTGTGCGGAGTGATTGGCCTGCGGAAGTGGCAGTTTGATGTGTGGTCACATGACGTCACCTTGGCCAATCACATGGAGGCGGGAGGCTTACCAGGGTAGGTCTTACAAAATGCCACCAAGCTTTTGTCATCAGTGAGAGTTTGCTTTTGGGAAGCATGCTAGACATTCAATTTTGTTTTCTAGTATTAAATAACAATGATAATTTATGGCAAATTTGATCATGAAATCAGACACTTGATCATAATAATTCTATGCTAATAAATTAAAATATATTTTTCCAGTTTTATTCCTTGAAAATGGTCCCTCGTATTGTGATGATGAGAGAAGGGTCACGTGACACTTGCAGCCTGATTGGCTGGCAGACAAGGCGCTGAGTATTTGACCCTAGATGTCAGGCGGAAACAAAACTGGATGTTGGAGATTGTACTTATGCTTATTGAAATAGTGGGTATTTATTGGGTAGAGTTATATTTCTGTTATGCCCCTTGGGGACAGACGTGTCCACATCACAGAGGCCACCCTGAAACACCTGAACAAGGCATATGAGGTGGAGGAAGGGTATGGCCATCTGAGGGACCCCTACCTGAAGGAGCAGAACATCCGCACATACCTGGTCATCGACCCCCGGGTGAGACACTCTGCTTATGTGTGTGGCTGAGGGGGACTTGGATAGCCTCAGTTTTAATGGCCATCCCACGATGGGACTTGGTCTCGTGTCTCGGCAGTCCAAGGAGCAGTGTCCCAACGACACGTCCAAGGCGCGCATGAGCGACGGCCTGAAGATGCGCGCCTCAGTGCGTATGACCCGCTACCTGGAGTCCTGGGGCGCTGTCAAGCCCTTCGCCCACCTGCAGAGCCGCGAGGGCTACGGCACCGATGCCATGGTCAACGGCAAGGTCCGCTGCAAGGTACGGGCAGCCGCTCTGTCCTCATTGGCTGAGGAGGACTGGGAGGAGGGGCTTAAACGAATCACTCATTGCTGCTTTTTCATGCTCAACTGGCAGTCAAGCTGACTGAACCTAATTCATTAGACCATGATTTTTATGTAGCAGGAAGAGAAAAATGCGGTTTTTGTGCCAGTGTACACTTTGTCTGTCAGTTTGTCCGGCATCTGTGTGGTTTGGCTTTGAAACCCGTCCTCGTGCTGTAAATGGATCTCCTTATGCTTCCTTCCAGGACATTCCACTGAGATCCATTCCTTGTTCCAAGATACCCGAAAGGTAAGTAAGCATCTTGCTGCAGAAACGACCTAAAGCCCCGTGATTATAAACATGTGGAAGTCTGAAACAGTCTTTTAAAGAGTCTTTCGAAGCACGTCACGCTCAAGCAGCACTGCACTGTTCACTGGATAACGTAACGTATAGCAGATTATGTAAACAGTGTGTTTTTTTTCACGGACCGGATTCAGCAGACCGATCGCTGTGAATTATGTGGTCGTAGAAGACGCGGGTTTACAGAGCTTGTATCATGAGTACGATTTTCATTATGAGGCATGAGAGCACAGTTCTTGGTTCGTCAGAGCAGGGTGTGTGGCACGGGTGCGTGGCACGTGCTGATTGGCAAAGACCCCTTCCTGGGGTCAGAAGCCGTCTCTCGCAGTGCCAGGGCCTGTTCCCCCCCCCTGCTCAGTGCGAGTCTCTCACTGTTGGTCTCTGACAGCCTGGATGAGTCCCTGGAGGAGTCCTTTGTCTCCCCCACCCCTCCCTTCGCCAGCTATAAGTGAGTGGCACCACATTAGTTCCTGCAGGGAGACGCCTTGATCCTCACCGCTAACGTTCTAGCTTCTCCGACTGGCCGCCTCCCATCTCTATGTCCCCGTGTCCTGCTGAGACCCCCAGTCTGTGGGCATTAACCAGTCTCTACTAAGCCTGTGCCGCTCATCCTTGGAGTCCAGCTGGGTTCCCCCCCGACCCCCGCCCCCCCCCGGCAGTATTGTGTGTGAGGAAACAGCAGGTTTCCTTCCTGAGGCTGCAGCCTACTTTTAGCTCACAGGATTGGGCACTGCGCCAGCTTTATACACCTTTCCACCGGGCACCCCGCACGCATGCACGCACGCTCACACGCACGCACGCACGCACGCACGCACGCACGCTCACACGTCTGCCTGTACACCCACAATCACACTATCTGCTTCTCACTAATGCTGAGGTCCCTTTATGTTTCCCAGCATGCACGGCGAGGCGGAGCCAAACTAGAATAACATGCATGAGGCTGGCTCATCGCCCTGTGTTCGTCCGTTCTCCTGTCCCTGCATCTGCCTTCTCTCTCCTTCCTCACCCTGCTTCTCTTTGCAGGAATAAATCCCAGAAAAGCAAATTTGATGAGGAGCTCCACAATGAGATGACGACGACCATCGATGAATTGAGCTCCAGCAAGTGAGTCCTTGTTCAGAGCTGTCCTCTTTAACCCTGATTGAATATGAAGACCAAGTTTTGGTCTTACAGGCCTTTTGTCTCATTTCCAAATGGCTATAAAAGCAAATGAGTCACCCCTGCCAATAGAGGACAGGCATGGTGGTGGGGTCAAAGGTCATTGGCCACATTGGCCAAGTTGGACCCCTTTCCTGTTAATGATCTTGGCTAACACCAAGAAGCCACATTGGTCATTTCAGGTCCAGAAGCTACAAATCCAGACCAAGATTTTGGATTCTATAAACCAGTTGAGTCTCTGTGACTCTATGCTGAACTGGTTGGTAGGACGAAAATCTTGGTTTGGATTTGTAGCTTCTGGACCTGAAATGACCAACACTGCCAAGAAGGCAGTCGAGTGTTAGAGATATAGGGGATAATGAGAAAAAATCAGGTAAATGACAGGTATTAAAATTTAAATTGTGGTTCATAGTTGAAAAAATGTAAAAATCCCCATTGTATGCTAGCAAAAACTGCCACTGTCATTTATTGGATGGATGGATGGATGGTTCTGTCATAACCAGTGGATGTGGAATGTTCTGTTTGGGTTGGAGTAGAGCTGGGGGGGGGGGGGGGGTTGTACGCAGTGACTTCAGCTCCTGCACTTCTCCTGTCCTCAGGCAGTGGGTCAAGTCTGAAGAGATCTGCAGCTTGACACTCTGGTTCACGAAGAAGGAATTGGAGAAGCAGGTGAGTCATCCCCGAGCGGCAGCGCGGGCTTGTTGGGGTTAAAGGTCACCTGCCACATCAGGTTGCCATAAATGACGCCTTTGCACATTAGTCAGTCGGTTACGTCACAGATTCAGCAGCTGGTGATCTAATGTTTGCTGACATTTATCACTGTTACAGATTATGGTACAGAAATGAAACACATTTCCGTTGCTTTTATTTTCCAGTATCGTGCCATTGATCTTCCCAGTTTCAAGTACTACATTGGCTGTGCCACCCTCATCTTCCTCTGCATCTTTTTAGTCCAAATGTTTGTCACAAAAGAGTAAGAGCTTCTTCAAATTTTTCACATATTAACAAATTTTCCACTTGTACTTTGGATGTTCTGTTTCATGCATGAGTTTATGCCATTAAAAAATAATATATGGCTATTTAAGATTAGATAACATGAAAATTTTTCTAAGGGGAAAATTCTGGTGCATGCAGCAGTAAGGTAATGGAAGTTCAGATAATCATTTAATCATTGCAAAACAAGACAAAGTGCAAATACATACTGCGGACAAGTAAACATAGTTTCAAATGTGCACACACAGAATATCCTGAAAAAGCATAAAATAGAAATGAAAATTGTATAAAATGACAACAACAACAAGAACAATAATAAAAAGTAAACTAGCGGAAGTTATATGTGCAATTAAATGTGCGAACAGATAGCACTGGACTTGCACTACAGCAAGTTTCCTTGCTGCAGAGAAAGTGCAGTCCTAATATTTCTAATATTATTCCTAATATTCCTTTAGGGAAGTTCTATTTGTATCCTGCGTACGTCTTTAAATTTATTTGCATAGTGTCTCGTTTCATACCGTATGGTGGTTTGTCTGCACTGTATTTACCACGCTGCTTTATGCTTCAGAATTCCCCCCTCGGAGCAATAAAGTTTCTTGTCTTATCAAGTGCTTTGTCACATATTTGTCTCATTTGAGTATGATTTTGGAATAAGGCCCCTGCTGCATTGTCCTCAGGCCCCAGAAGCTGGGGGTGTCCTTTGGTGTGCTGGCCTGCATCTTGCTGCTCATCCTGGGAGTTTCCTTTGCTGGTCACCTGCAGGTCAGTGGCCCACGCTGGGCCGCGCACGCTGGCTGAGCCCCTGGTCGCTGGCTGGGCCCCGGGAAGGCAGCGCAGGAAGGGCAGGGACTTGTAATGCTCTGCCCCTTCCAACCCCCCCACAGTTTCCAGGGACAGGTTAAACAGTTAAAGCAATTCAGCTGTGTGATAACATAATTAAAAACATGTAGATTTATTGCTCTCGTTAAATGGCCGTGGCTCTAATAAGGGCTGCTTGGCTCGCCGGGCCTCCAGCATGGGGGGGAGCTCATGTTTGTTCATTTAAAACACCATGCTGACGTAATGGCGGCCCATAAAACAGACACCATCATTCACCGTTATGAGATTAGTCTCTGATGACTTGTAGTGTTGTTCTTTGGCATGTTTAATTATCAAGCTGACTTGATTTAATTAACTGCTCTGAACTTTTCTCTAACCCCGTCCTGCATCCTGCTCTCCCACCTGTGCTAATCATGTTGTCCTTCCTGTAATACCTGTCGCATGTTTTCCTTCCTGTAATACCTGTCGCATGTTTTCCTTCCTGTAATACCTGTCGCATGTTTTCCTTCCTGTA